ACGGTAGTCAACATAGAGATCCTTCTCTCCATTGTCTAGACCAGTGGTTCTCAAACTTTTTCAGTCCACCGCCCCCTTGGTGCTACAAACTCATCCTCAGTGCCCCCCACCCAGGGGTGGGATTCAAATTTCTGTGGGCGTGGCCTAATTTGAAGGTGTGGCTTGCTGGTCACATGACTGGGTGGGTGTGGCTTACTGGTCATGTGACGGTGGGTGTAGCTTGCTGGTTACGTGACTGGCTGGCATGGCTTGCTGGCTGGGCATGGCTTGCTGGTCACATGATGGGGTAGGTGTGATTTGGTGGTCATGTGACTGGGTGGGTGTGGCCAGGTGACTGGCAAACCAAATACAAGTGGTCCTCACTTAATGGCTGGTTGTTTAGAAAGTGTTCTAATTTATGACTGGCATCCCCAGAGATACTTGACCCGTTTTTGGAGTTTTGACAGCCATGCACACACATACACACACACTCCCTTCTAACCCTGCTGGAGCAGGTCATTGCACTAGAATTGGCAAAGCATCTCTGATTAGATTCTAGCAGTGAATAAAATCTAATCAGAGATGCTTTGCCAATTCTTGTTGATTTGTTTTATTTGTATCTCTTTATTTTATGTTGCTGAATTGCATTGACATGTGTGTCCCTGCTTGTGCACAACCCAGAAGCTTTTGCGATTCTTTGCAGCAAAAATTATCGACCTCTGGCTTTGCTCTACTTTTCAAACATGCCGACACTGCTGCGTTCTAGGTGCCGACCCCACAGGTCCACCCCATTGAGCCCACTGCACTGGAGGGATCTGCCCAAGCAAGTCAAGTCAATGTGCTGAGCCTGAGAGAGGGAGAGGGAGAGAAAGAAAAGAAAGAGAGAGAAGGACGAAAAGAAAGAGAAAAGGGAAAGAAAGAAAAAGGGACAAAGAGGGGGGATGGAAGGAAGGGACAGAAAGAAAAAGAAATAAAGGAGGGAGGGAGGAGAAAGATAATGAGATATCTATTCTAGTCCAATCACCTGCTCCAGCAGGGTTAGAAGGGAGTGTGTGTGTGTGTGTGTTCTCCTTGTAATATACCAATACATTTTGGTTTTGCTTTCTACAGAATTGGCACTGTAATATATTGGGGAAAAGTAATTTTTAGAATGGAGATCTGGCCCAATGGATCCTGTTTAAAGCCTCAACAAAATGTGAGAGCTTCCTGATAGTCTTGACCATGTTTTGTCCACAAAACTTTTAATAGAAGCCAAAGATGTTTCAATGTGCTGGCAAAGATGTTTCAATGTGGAAAAGGATCTCAGTCTAAACTAGGCCTCATTTCAATGTGATGAATCAGGTCTCTCTCTCTCTCTCTCTCTCTCTTTCTCTTTCTCTCCCCCTCCCTCCCTCCCTCCCTCCCAGACTGGCTTTGCTCTACTTTCCCAATGTGCCTGCAGGGCTGGAGCTTCAAACATGGATAGATGGATGGATAGAGAGAGAGAGAGGCAGACAGACAGAGAGAGACAGACAGGTAGGTAGGTAGGTAGGTAGATTGGTAGATAGATAGGCAGGCAGGCAGGCAGGCAGACCTTTTGGATGAATGTATGGATAGGTAGGTAGGTAGGTAGGTAGATCTATATTGGTAGATAGGTAGGTAGGTAGACAGAAAGACAGGTAGGCAGACAGGTAGGTAGGTAGGTAGGCAAGAAGGCAGGCAGACAGACAGGCAGACCTTTTGTATGTATGTATGGATGGATGGATGGACGGACAGACAGACAGACAGACAGAAAGAACGAATGCAACAGCAGTGGCACTTTGAGAAAGTAGAGCAAAGCCAGAGTTGGAATTGAATTCAAGTTGCCAAGATTGAGAAACACAGGCTGAATATATCAACCCAGCCATTCTGTTTTAGAGTTTAGCATGCTGTTTGATTCCGGGTTAGTCAATGAATAAACCATGGCTAAGATCTTCCTGCTCCTTAATGCCCCTCTGCCCCTTCTGCAGCCCCTGCAGCTGCCCCTCTGCCCCTTCTGCAGCCCCCTGCAGCTGCCCCTCTGACCCTTCTGCAGCCCCCTGCAGCTGCCCCTCTGCTCCTTTTCCATCCCCCTGCAGCTGCCCCCTCTGACCCTTCTCCAGCCCCCTGCAGCTGCCCCTCTGACCCTTCTCCAGCCCCCTTTGGCATCAAATTTTGTAATGCCAACCTCCCCAGGGCAGCGATGCAGCCGATCTCACCCTCTTTGCTTCAACCCAAGGTCCACTTCCATTGGGCCAAGCAAGGGGAGGTACTCTGCACACGCCCAGAGATTCCCAACTTCAGTGAAGCGTTCCACCCATCTTTATGCTCCACCTGGGAGGAAGAAGGCGTGTGGAAGCAGCCCAGACCAGGGGAGGCGGAGGGAATGATCGCTTGAAAACTAAGCAAGCAAGCAAGTGCAGGGCTTGGTCAGAAGAACTGGGCTGCAGAGGGAAGCTAGGTTGTAGGTGCGGGACAGCCACGTAGAGCCGAACCGAACCGAGCCATGCACCTTGGAGAGCCTCAGCTGCACCCACCCGCATCCTGCGCGCAAGCCTGGCTGGCTGGAGAGGCAGAAGCCGGGTGGGCGCTGCGCGCTCCCTTGTTCTCCTCTGGGGAAGGGGGCCCTAACGCCAGACCACCCACCCCTTCCACTGCATGCCTGGGGAGGGTTTTGCTTTCGGGCCTTCTGGCGTGCCTCCGCCGCTTCCACCGAAGAGGGCAGCCTGCAAGCTAAGGCACCCTCTTTCCACCACCTCCCACCTCTCCCCCCCCCCCCCCCCCCTCCCCCCTTCCCCCCCCCCTAAGGCATCCCCCCCCCCCCCCAGGAGGTGGTACCACTGGTCTAGACATTTTGAGTTCCTTGCGGAGTTCACAGGAGCAGATTCTTTGCAGTATGGATAAGTCTGGTCTTGAGCGAAGTTTTGAAGTTCTGGTCTTGAGCGAAATTCTGTCTTTAACAGCTAAGGGAACTAGGTAAGTTTAGAGTTAGGGGTAATGATAGCCATATTCCAATACTTGAAGGATATGACAGGAAAATTGATTTATTGTCTAAAACATTTTAGGGCAGGATAAGAAATGGATGGAAACTAGTGAGAGAGAGATTCAACGTGGAACTAAGGTGAAATTTTCTGACAGCGAAAACAATTTAGTCAGTGGAACTACTTGCCTCCTGGAATTTTGGAAGCACAATTGCTGGTGGCTAAAAGAAAAAGATTGGACTACCATTTGTTCGGGATGGAATAAGGATTCTGTCTTTGGGCAGAGGGTTGTGCTAAAAAACCTCCAATGTCACTTTCAGCCTAACAATTCTATGGTTCTAAACCACACTTTCACTTCATCTTCTGAAAGCATTTTTCATCTCAGCTAAGCAAACATGGCAAGAGGGATTCCCTATTACCATTTCCTCTTCCTAAGCCCTCAAAAGCAATTTAAATATGATATGCAATTGTCTTCTCTCCTGCCACTCTTGCAGTGCTGAAAAATATTGTTATTATTAGATTGTTATTCCACCTTTTCTGTATCTATGTAACTCAAGCAAAAACCAAAGAAAACAAACAAATGGCTATCTGATGACACTATCAAAATAGCTGATCAGCAAAGAGCAGCCAAAGATAAAGGCAATAAGGATAAAGTTAAAAAGCTGAATGCAAATTTTCCACATGAGGCCAGGAAAGACAAAAATAGGCAGTGGGAGTAGCAGTGTCTACCTTGGAAGAACTTAATAGAAAGGAACATACGAAGATCATGTTTGCTGTAGTGAAAATGATGTGATCCATCACAACAAAGAACTGTTAAAGATTACAATGGGAATGTACTAAGAGACCAGCAGAAGATCAGGAACAGATGGAAAGAATGTATGGAAGAATGTATGGAAGAAGAATGTATGGACTCTATAGCAGTTTGACTTATCATCAAGATGACAACAATGGCAGTCCTTAATAAAGAATTAAACATCTGAAAAAAGATCTTTTTCAAGTCATGGAGCCCAGGAAAGCCCCAGGTATTTATGGAATACCTCCAGAATTATTAAGACCAGTGCAGTTAATATCACCACTATCCTGTGTCAAGAGATATGGACTCAGGGCTGGAAAGGCCTCAGGGCCTCAGGGCTGGAAAGTATCTGTTTTTATCCCATTAGTAAAGAAAGGTGATGCCAGAGACTGTAACTATGGCATGATTGCATTGATTTCTTATGCAAGCCAGATTCTGTTAAAAATTATTAAACTTCAGTGCTGTGTACATTCTCTGTTTCTAAAAATACAATATCCTTGCAGATAAATAATTTGTCTGTAAATAATGTTTTGAATATAACTTTTACAGAATTATAGAATAATAGAGTTTGAAGTGAACTTGGAAGCCCAACCTTGTTCAAGCAAGAGACCTTATATGATTCCAGACAAATAGCTATTCAATCTCTTCTTAAAATCCTCCAGCGATGGAGCATTCATAATATTGTCACAATTAATAGGAATGCCTGATGGGAATGCTTTGGAGAATATTCTCTTTGTGATAGCCCTTCAATATTGCTATCTTGTCATTCCTAGTCCTTCTCTTTATTAGAGTACACATACCACATTTGTGCAACAATTCATCATACACCTTAGCCTCCAGCTTCTAATCATTGTTGCTTTTGTGTTGTTTTGTTCTGTTCATTTCTAGTAATAGCTTTGATTGTTTCTAGGTGTTCACAGATTCATTGCTTGATTATCTTTTCCAGGATCTTCCCAGGTATTGATCTCATGCTGCTTAGCCTGTAGTTTCTTGGATCCATTTTCCCCTTTTTTGAAGATGCCTCCTCTCAGTATTTGTTTGTTTTATTTAAAATAAACTTTTGTTCATTTTAAATAACAGGTTACAATTTCAGTGTGCAAATGCAAATCATACTTGTGTAAGTTGGTTCCAGTTTCTTTAAATATGATGGATTGCAAATATTTAATGTGATTGTAATATTATCTGGCAACCATTTCTGAGGCATTTTTATGCAATTGAGATCATTTATTGGAACTGTGGTTTGCTCCCAGAATGCCGTGAAGAGCAGTTTCCTTGCACACGTCTATACTCTGTTCACAAGCCTGTGAAGCAGTGCATCAGTTATTTGTGTGTCACAAGGTAAGAAAAATCTATGCATATTATTTGTTAAGAAAAAATGACATACTGTTTTAGATTAGGTTATGAAAAGTAGGGTTGATGCTATTAGTGTTGCATGGTATTTTGGCAAGTTAGTGAATCTGAATATTTTAATTTTTTTCTTTTTCTTTTCTTTTTCTTAAATAAAGTTTATTTAAGTTTCATATATTTAAAACATTTAAAAAGAAACAAACATATAAACAAATATATATACATGTATACATTTTGCAGCAGGTATTGAGCATTGGTTACACTTTTCTTTTCTTTTTTTCTTTTACATTGATTACACTGATTACATTGATGTGATCTACCTTGTTACAATACCTTCCTTGTTCTCTTAATGTTTTAATTTCACAGAATACTTTATGATTAAATGCACGTCCTTCATAGTTTCATAACTTATTTAGTTGTCAAATGTTGCTTTTTCTTTAACCATTCATACCAACAGTTCCAAACTTTATAGTATTCACTATCTTTGTTGTTTTTTAGTAATTTGGTTAGGCTATCCATCTCTGAACACTTGTGAATTTTTTTAATGACCATCTCCTCTGAAGGGACAATAGACAGTTTCCAATTTTGTGCATAGCTTATTCTGGCTGCCATTATAATGTGCAAGATTACTGATAGGCAAAATTCTTCTCCCAAACATATACCATTTTTAAAAGCTCTTAGGTAGAAGTGTTCATTTTCATGTAGACATTTTCTACAGATATAAGTCTTAAAGATTTGCTATCCCCTACACTCCAAAGTTCAAATTGTTCATTTTTCAGCAGTAAGATGGGTGAGATGTTAACTATATCTTCACACACACACACACACACACACACAGAGGGGGGAGAGGGAGAGCTCTGAATATAAAGTGGATTTTTAATTATCCCAGCTCTTTACCATGTGGCTTCGGAAAGTGGGTACCCCTTCCATTGTACTACGTATTGTAATCTCCCCTTGTACAATCTGGAATCCAAAATCCCTTTTAATTTTTTAATGTGTCTCCCCTTGCACTACAATTGGTTTTGGGGTTGCCCGGTCCACTGGCCTTAGCTGGGAGTCTACTGTGGGGTTTAACAAGCTGCTGTGAAAAACCAGGTGCACTTTCCCTAGCAGGCACAGGAGTTTCAGCTCCATTGTAACTGGGTTAATCACTTTCACTATTGGGAAAGGTCCTATAAACTTTGGTCCCAACTTTTTGCAGGGGAGTTTTAGCCTCAGGTACTTGGTACACCTTACTCCCTATTTGGAAAGGCTTTTTGGGGGCTTGATGCTTGTTGGCTTGTGCTTTATGGGTTTTTGCTGCTTCTTGAAGAGCCCACTTCATGTTTTCCCAGGCTTTCTTCAGTGACTCCATCCATTCATTTAAAGAAATGGAGGAGGGTAGCTTCCTAGGGAGTTCAGGCATGGGGATGAACTCCCTGCCACTTGTGATCTGAAAGGTGCAAAGTTTTAGAAAGCTGAAATGCCCTGCTTGCTTGGAATTGTGGCTCCTCTGGAGAACCCTGGAGGCATAAGCTGTTGGGGACATACAGTTTAGAGCCCTTCCAGGCTAGTCCTCCCCTAAGGGTTAGCACTCCTCAGTTATCCTTTTACCATGGATCAGCTGGAAGTTTGATTTTTAGCTTTTGAGTCAAGCCCCTGCCATCTCCGGCTCTTTGTCATGGGCTTGCCCTCAGGTGGTGGTTTGTGTCACTGGTTGGGAGGGGGGAAGCATGGCACGGACCACTTCCTCGCGTTTACAGCTTTCATGACAAAAGCATCTGCTTTGTCCTCCCCTCCTCAGGGATGTACTTCAGGGTAAAATTGAAGGTGGCTTTGATTGGTGGCAGAGCAGCTGGGTGGGGATGCAGTGGAGTGGATGCAGGGAGCTGCAGTGGTGCCCCAATAGGATTCCACTGGGACCCAGCCATGGATCCCACATGGACCCAGACATGCCCAGGTGTCATGTCCCTGTCAGAGCCTGAGTCTGCAAAGGAAGATGAGCTGGAACTGGAGCTGATGGAGATTGAGGGGGCTGCTTCTGTTCTGACCCACGCCCTTTTCCAACAAATCAAACACAATCCAAAGGAAACACTTTTAATGCTTCTGCAAAATAATTAGCTGTGATAAGGACAAGCCTTGCCAAAAGATAACAGATAAGAAATAATTTGCAATACAAGAATCTTCATATACAAACTCAAGATACTGGAAGGTCTGTGAGGCTGGAGTTTCAAAACGTCTTTGCCTTCTGCAAAGAACTTTTGTTTCACAGCTGGCTTTTATCTTCTTGAAGGAGGGGCCATTAACTTGCAGCCTTGCTCCTGAGTCACCCATGCTGTTGTAGCTGCTCTTTCCTACGAGCAATCCTGCATGCATGCGCACTTGGCACAGGCTCCTCGGGAACCTCCTCATCACTGCTGCCAGCCCCCACAATCTCTGAAGGCAGCAGTCCACTCCCTAATGGTCCTGCCCCCTCATCTGAGTTCTCGCTCTCCTCAGCCATCCGCACCTGCTGCCGGCTAACCACAACAGCTTCATTGGCTTCAAAGGAATGTGGGGAGGAGTGGGCTGAGGCAGGCCAAGGCCTTTCAGGATTGGGATGGCTTGTAGGCAGGGAGGAATGGGGGCAGGATGACCAAGAGAGACTAAGAAGTGAACATGAGACATAGAGCTCAGATGGTGAGCAAGGATCACCCCTCCTTGAGTGGCGAGAAGATGGAAACTGTGCTGACCCGACAACTCGGGAGGAGAGCACTCCGCCCCTCTTCACAAGGCACACCATTGTTGGGAACAAACACTGAATTGGTAGAGTTTGGTGTGTCGGTACAGATATTTGGAATTTGCAGGACTGCTTGCTTCTTCCTTACTTGTGAACTCAGTGTCTTCTTCCTGACTTCGTGAATGCATTGTCTTGTTCCTGACTTTGTGGACTCCTTGTTTGTCCCTTGGTTCATGGACTCATTGTTTGTTCCTTGTTGTTCCCTTAACAATTTATGGCAGGATGTTAGCAAAGCAAAAAGCTGAACATGACAGATCTAACATTTTGCCACCCTTTTCAGAGATGTCAGTCCTATAGAGGAAACAAAAGTGGGAGGAGACAGAGAAACAAAGACAAATACCAAATTAATTGATTTTCAGTGAGGTTTCTCCGTGTATTGTTCATGGAATTTTTTGAGGAATTTGGAGGTTCGTATACTGTTTTGGAAGGTGGAAAGTCTTTACATGACATTAGGTATTGGATTTTCCCCTGGTGCGTGTGTGAATCTAGGATTATTTTGACCTCAAAATGTTGCTACCCCTTGATCACGATGGCATCGGGTGGTGGTTTAGTTGCCAGGCATACAGGAGAGGTGGATGCCACCTTTAGTAGACTACAGTGGAACACTGGGTGGATATGTCTGAAAGTTTTTGGAAGTTCAAGTTCAATGGTTACTGGGTTGATGATTCTTTTTATGGGGAAAGGGCCAACATATTTTGGACCCAATTTTTTTTTGAAAATTGTCTGGATTGTAAGTTTTTAGTGGATAGACTCTGATTTTAAACTTTTTTGGTTTAGAACATTTCTTGTCACCTTACTTTTTGTATGACTCCCTCACTTCTTCAAGTGCTTTCCTGACTATTGGCCAGGAGTTTTGCAGCTGTGAAATCCATTATTTTAAAGAATCTATTTGGGGGGTGGCTTGGGGCAATTCAGGAATAGATACAAAGTCCTGCCCCATGGCCACCTTGAAAGGGGTAATTCTAGTGCTACTATGCATTATTATAAGCTACTTCAGCAAACGAGGGGAGACTCACCCAATCATCCTGCTAATTACTGTAGCATCTGAAGTATTGTTCTAGGACTGCATTCATATAAAGTGATGTTTCACAAGGTGTAGGGCTTTTACAAAGCCAAAGCACCCAGCCAATTTTGAGTTGTGATTTTTCTAGAGAACTACTATGCATTGACTTTCGGGACATACAGTTTGGCTCCTACCCAAGCTAAGCTGTGCATTCATTTGATAGGCTTGGACCCACTTCAGGGATGGGATTCAAATTTCTTAACAACTGGTTCTGTGGGCGTGGCCTAATTTGTGGGTGTGGCTTGGTGGTCATGTGACTGGGTGGGCATGGCCAACTCGATGTCACTCACATGGAGGGGTGTCTCGCCTGGCTTCTCCTCACCCCTCCCCTCCCAGCCAGTCCTCGCTTCGTCTTTCATGTTATGGTGAAATTCCCCTTGATACTCGCCAATAAGATGAGATTTTTCTATCAGAAGACCTGATGGACATTTCCAAATATTGTTTATCTTGGAAAGACTGAGTGGAGAGATTTATAAAGATTAACAGAGTTGGAAGAGACCTTGGTGGTTTTCTAGTCCAACTCCTGCTGAAGCATGAGACCTTATACTATTATGGACAAATTTCTTCTTAAAAACCTCCAGTGATGGCATACCCACAATTTCTGAAGGCATCTCTGATTAATTGTTCTCACTGTCAGGAAATTTCTTCTTATTTCTAGGTTGGATCTGTTTGATAAGTTTCCATCTCACAGTTACTTCCAGTTGAGCCAGGCACCACCTATTCTATACATTTTTTCTTGTCTGTGTAAAATCTTACTTTACTCTCCATTAAATATTTAAATTGTTCTACAGTGGTATTCAGTTTACTACAATGATTTTTGCAAAATGCATTAAAGCTTGAAGAATACATCTCTGCTTATACTGATAAAGATGATTCTTTTTGAACATTAAAGCATACAGTCAAGCAAATATTTCCAATCCTTGAAAAGGTAGTTTGAAAGGTATTTTCAAAGCAGTCAGTTAGTGTATGTCTTACCATTCTTTCTCTTCTCCTTTATTTAAATTTTTCTGCTTTATATATTTTTTTCTTTGGCCTTATTGCAATATTACAAAATTTTCACAGATCATTCACAAAGAACCATTTCTAATTTAACTGGAATACAAAACAATCTTTCTGGTCTGGAATTCCTTGACTCACACTCACACCCCTCAGCTCCTCAACACTTCTCAA